GATAAATTGTATAATTAAATAAATTTTTGAAATTTCGAGAAAACATCTTTTTTTCTTATGAACACACTGCAATTAAACAATCATAATTTTAAACTAAAAATCAATAAAGCTTTTTTTTTCTTTTTTTTTTTTTCTTAATAAACCAATTGCTGTAAAATCTTGCATCTTTTTTTGTGCTTGCGTATTTCTTAATTGATCTGAAACATATCCTTATTGTTAATTAGAAGATAAGCTAAAACAGAAAACAACATTCAACAGCGTACTTGTAGCTCTGAAAAACCACGCCAACAAAACGTAAAATTACGTAGAATCTTTAAGAAGAAAAAAAATTTAAAACAAATAACAAGAACGCAAGCGCTCACACACAAGTGCTTAACAATTCGCTGTAAAATCTTGCATCTTTTTTTGTGCTTGCGTATTTCTTAATTGATCTGAAACATATCCTTATTGTTAATTAGAAGATAGGCTAAAACAGAAAACAACATTCAACAGCGTACTTGTGGCTCTGAAAAACCACGTCAACAAAACGTAAAATTACGTAGAATCTTAAAAAAAAAAAATTTAAAATTTAAAACAATAACACGTTACGTTCGGGAGCGAATGGAATCTTACGTGAATTTGCAAAATCTTCCCAATGTTTAATTGTGTATTTTCTAAATTAGAATTTGTTAAATTTTACTATAGTAATATTTTTATAAGTATGTTATGTTAGCTAAATAAATTAGCAAAAAAGAATACTCCTAATGCAATATCCTTTAAAGTTGTAAAAATCTCTTCTTTTTTTTCTTTCAAAATGTTCTATGGACACAGAAAATATATTTCCTAATTTTTTTAAACTAACACTTAAAATATACTACATATATTGTAGACATAACCTTTTCAAGTAACCTTGTGGGCCACCAGTAACGTCAATGGAATATCTATCATTATTTCAATCAAACCCCCCAACCACCGTAGCACATTTAATCCTCAAAATTTTGACCTTTGGTATGTTGGGAACTTGAGAAATAGCGTATCTTATCTGTGTGACAAAACCCATATTTTACTAAGAACTGTTTTGCACTGAAGGAAAGCTATCATTATTCTCTTGTTAGCTTATAAAATAATTTCATGAAGAAAAAAAATTGATGTTTAGTTTTAGTATAAAACGTAAAATACAATTAGCATGAATTATCATAATTAAAACTACTTTATAATTACTTAACCGTTTCGTTATTAACTGTTACGCTTTTAAATTTTTTCCATTTTTTCAATTCTGTTGTGATTAACGTTAACTAAAATTTATTTTGATTTCTAATTTTTGTGTAATAGCTGATTGTTGTAAACTATATTTTATTACCACGCGGAGAAAAAAATCTGATAAAATTACCTTATGACGCAGTAATAACATGTCTGGTTAAAGAAGTAAAAAAAATAAAAAAATAAAAAATTTTAAAAAAAATAAAATTTGGTATTAAAAACCAAAATATACGGTGTTTAAACTATTCATTTGGTAATTTCAGAGCTTATATGGTAATAGTTTACCGAAAGTTCTGATTTTCAAAATAGTAGTTCTTATTATCAGACATTCAGTAAAAAATAGAAAACAGAAAAGTAAATTTAACCGAATAAATGGTTTTTATTTCAAACTCTAATGTGTCATGATAAAAATGTTTAAAACGCTTACCAAATCAATTAGAGCGATTACCAAAGCGCTTCGGTAAGAATTATCCAACGTTTTGGTATTTTCATAGAGCCAGAAGTACGGTAAATATTATTACATTCTGGTAGTTATGGCTTTTTTCCCTCAGTGCTGCTTTTTACAATTAAAGGTAAATAAAACGTAAAGTAAGGAATTATTGGGTAATAACTTATTTTTTTATACTGTAACACAATTGTAATTAAGGTTAAAATAAATTCCAGTTTAGTTTTGAATTAGTTTATTGAAAATACTGATCGTTGCGAATAGTTTTTTTTACGTTCAAGGCCGAACTGAAATTAAGGTTGGTGCTCCTAGTAAAATATCTGACTATTGTAAACGGTGATTATGATCTTTTTACACTCAATGCTGAACCAAACTTGAGGATAGTTTCAAATCTACTATTTAATATTGTTTTGGACGATTCTGAGCGATTAAATTCTGTATATTACATCTAATGGAATTAATTATGTTAGGGGTCGTTCGAATAGGAGGAGGTTTTTGATTTGCTTATTTTTGCTGACAAGGAGAAGGTGAGGTGCGCGAAATATATTAAAATCCCCCTTTTTTTTAAATTTTTCTTTAAAAGCAAAATAAAAATATTTTTTAAAAAATTGCACAAGAAAAAAATCGAAATGAGGAATTAAAGTTCGGGGAAGGAAAAAAGTTTTAAAAAATGTCTGTGAAGATTTTCAGAGGTCAATAATTTTGAACTCAAAAAATTCTTAAAGAAAATATTATTTTCAAAATTCTATAACACTTATTAAAACGTAAACTCTCTGTTTCACGTAAAGTTGCTTTTTTTTTATTTCGATTTACGCCTAAAATTAGTACAGGAAGCGTAAAACTAGCAGCTAAAAATTAGTATTAAAAAAAAAAAGAATGTTGCGGTTTCCTTACGTAAGCAAGGATGGTGGTTTTGAGATTTATTTATTTTTTGGTGGGAAGGGGAGGGAAGGTGAGTCAAAAATTTCCAAGTATACGCTTGCGTAACATTTGAACGGTCTCCTATGAAATATATAAAAAAAAATTTGTTAAATTTTTTTAACAAAAAAATTTGATTTTTCTTTCGATCCTAAGAACAATTTAAAGGGCCAATTCTTGTAGTATTCGCTAGCTATTAATAGCGCCAAGCAAAGATACTATCAATCAGTACTTCATGTAACGTTCCTATTATCACACCTTCAGTCAGCAACCACAGTTAGTTAAAGCTTCCATTCGCCAACACTGAAAGGAAGAAAATGATACTAATTTATTAAAAAAAACTAGGATTATTGTTTGTCTTATGATTTCACATTTGGCGCAATGGCGTATATCTGTAAATCATCACTTTATCTTGATGCTGAGGAAACAGAGATTAGTAAAAGCGTGATGGAAAGAAAAAAGTATCATGGTGGCGTGAAATACAGCAGGAATAAGTTACTCGTTGAGAAGATCTGTCAAACTATTTTTGTAACCAGAGAGTAATTTTTAAATAATAAGTTCTTGCCTGAAGAGAAGAGCTTCTTCTTCCAGCAGAAGTTCTGCCTTAACTTTTTACAGATGAGTTTGAGCAGATAAACGAAGGAGTGTTTTGCTTACAATTCATCTTTGTTCAACACGATTGAGAAACAGAAAAATATTTTGAATATTCCGTGCTTCATATCACTCGTTGTGGTTCGGTTTTAGCTTTATTTTTTCGAAGTTGTCGGAAAAAAAGGGAGGAATTATAGCAGGCATGTCAAACATGGGGTTTACGGGCTAAATGTAGCTTTGTTGACTAATCGACTGTGTCCTACTAAGACTTTGATAATAGTGATTTTTTTTTACTGACATTTTAGTTGCATTTTTTTACAGTAGAAAAAAAAAATGTTGAAAGAAATGAAAATGTGAGAAAATTGTAGAACCAAAAGGAATTTTCTTTAATATTGTAGATTACCCTTCAAATAAATAAAAAATCATCCATTTAGATCAAGGATCCTTGTAATTAAATGATCTTTGAATTAAATGAAAAATCAAAGTCATTCTTAAGTTCTCAATGAGCATATTGTCAGTTTTCCTGTTTTGTCAATTCACTATAACCTTACTGATAAAAAAAGTATTGTCAAAACTACCAGAATATGCTACAGTATATTGTGTTTCTGGGTCTATGGAATTACCAAAAAGCTCGGAGATTTTTACTGAAGCGCTTTGGTAATGATTTTGGTAAAATTAACACTAAAATATAGTTTTATAATATGTCATAAAATTTTAAAATGTAATAAAATTTGATAATTTTATCATGACATATTAGAAAATAGCATGAAAGAAACTATTTAGGGGAGGTTAAATGCTTAAATTTATTTTTAAATTATGTATTTTTTACTAAAAGTATTGGAATAAGAACTATAATTTTGAAAACCACAATTTTCGGCAAACCGTTAATATACAAAGGAGAAAAATTACCAAATTATATTTATTTTGGTTTTATAACACCGAAATTGTTTTGTTTTTTTTATTTACCAGAAGTGTCATTACTGCACATTTCGGTAATTTTACCAGAATTTTTTTTCTCCGTGTTGAAGTACGATAACCACATTATTATAAATCAGATATTACTTAAAATAGATTATTTTTAAATGGGTTACCGACCTTTTATTTTTACATCAGGATGACAGCACGTGAATGATGTAAAATAGCACGTGAATGATGTAATATGAATAGGATAGTAGTTAAAGCAGGATAGTAGTATGAAAAGGCTCAATTGCCAAAAATAGAAATGTAAAAATTAATTGTAGAAAAGAATAGAGAAACCATGGTAGACAAGAGAACAGCAATTAGCAAAACAATACAGAATGCATTTTCCATGTGCAAAGAAGGGAAACGCAGAATTTAGATCCTTTTCTAGAAAATCATCGTTTAGTTATGTATGTTACACACACACAAAAAAAAATTTCAGTGTGCTGCCTATAAGTTAAGTTTATTTATTGTCGCCTTGTTTTCTATTCAAAAAGTACAACGAAAACATAACTTCGTGGTTATAAGATATTATGAACTACTTTTCTAGAGCAATAGAATTTTCAAGCTTTTGTCAAACACTATTATTTTGATAAAATTTCAGTAAAAAATAAATATAATCAAGTTTTCTTTTCTCTTCTTATCGATCAGCATACGCACCTGCAAATTTGATTTTAAAAAAGTAATTAAATGCTTGACAACAAACTCTTTTAAGACATAAATCAAATTTTCTCCTCATCATGAAGCTCTTTGTTGTATGTTTTATCTCAAATTCTCCCTCTATTTCATCAAATCTATTGTTCTATTTTTATATTGGTATTAGCGTATAGCTGTCTGTTTGTTACAGGATATTAGTGGGTGCGCCTAGAGCTCAAACTGCCCAACCTAATGTGACAGCAGGTGGTGCTGTCTACCGATGTGCACCAGAATCAACTGCCAACTGTGCTGTTGTTCCTTTTGACACAACTGGTGAGTTTTTCGAAAAAGTTTCCTAATTTTTCTATTTTTTAATTAGATTCTTTTTATCTATTAATTGATTTTCAGTTTTTCTTTATCCTTTATTTTTATACTACTTACTAAAAGCTTCTAAAATTTAAAATAATTGAATGGCAAAATTTATATTATTAGAAATTATTGAGATTGATAACTTGATCGACGCGATTAGAGAGACGTGTCGTAATCTCATTTTGCATCGTAATTATTAGTGAGATTTATTACTTATTGTCGAAACCAAACAACGAATTAGTTAATTATTTTTGTCTGATATACTACTCTGATATCTGTACAACTGTTATTGAACATTAAATTTACACTTCTGTTCACTGTCATTTTTTCAGTGTTAAGAAATTAAAAATTCGCTGCAATTCTATACAATTGGTTATTTGGACAAATTCAACATACTTTTACATCACAAGTTGAGCTTTATATATTTTTATGATTCAGTAGTAGAATCTGAAAACAGTGTGCATTCTCCATATAATAAAAGGATCATAATTTACAAATAACAACATTGATGATGATTAAGTTACGATGAAGGAGTTTATATGATATTTCAAGTAAAAAGAACTTCAATTGTAAACACAAACAACCGTCTATCCGTCTTCAATATCTGATTTACCGTAGAGCCTAAAAGGTTGTGCCTACACTGTTAAAAAAGATTTGTAAAAATTGAGCAAAAATGTGTTAAAATAGCTCCGCGAAAAATATGTAGTCAAGTTTGAAAACTCCAAACATTTACAAATAAGTCTAGTGACATTCGAAATTGAAATAGCATGAACTCATTTTTAAGATAATGAAAAATGATGAAGAGAGTGAAATGTGTGAGACAGATGTTCGTTGGCTACTTGATGGATTCGAATGATGGACCCGCAGATTCATAGTAGGATTCTAAAACCTCTATATTTGCTGACCCCAGACCCGGGAGAGTTAAGAAACTTTATCAGGATACCCGTCGCAATGAAACATCATGATAAACATTACATTCACTTAAAAGTTCATAAGATACAAAAAATTGACCAAATAAGGAAATTAAAATCTTCTTACTAAACTATTCTGACTAAGCTTTTGGGAACATATTTTCCAAATAGCAACCCGCTGTACCATTGAAATTGAAAATCAGTACGTTATGATGTGTCCTTGCATCGATCACTATATAAAGCTTCCACACTTTTCCTATGATGAGGTGAACAACTATGGTGGTTAGAACTTGGTATGAACCCGGTATCTTGGCATGTAGTATCTTGGTATGAGCCCGGTAGTATCTTAGTATGAACCCGGAGGTCTGATGTTCGAATCTTGCCGGCAGCTTATGAGCATCTCTTTCACACATTTCTCCCATCACAACGTTTTTAAGACTATGCATTTTGCCCAAAAAGGATTACATTGCTGTTTCAATTTTGCATGTCACTCTAGGTTTTCAAATTCTACTACATTTGTTATCAACCTCTTTAAATTTCTGTGCTAACAACCTGAGCTTAATTTCTATTAATTCCTGAGCTTAAATTCTATTAATACCACTCACTTATGTAATATCTCGTTCAAAAGTGTATTCAACTTAAACGAAATAAATATATAGTTCAAGTTTATTGGCAATAGACTCTCTCATTTTTGAGCTTGATTTCAATGAAATACAAAATCAGGCCCAGTCCGAATTCAAAACTCAAAGCCTCACTCCGTCCTGCAACTAGTTGAGGTCAACTCTAAAGTATCGTCTCATTTCTAATCGCATTGAATTTTTTTTTGTACGTATTTATACGCATGCATTATTACATTCCACCATTGTTGAACAAAACTAGATTACTATAAAGTATATTTTGATACGGGTTTTAAATCCGTGAAATTATTCTATTCTAATATACTAAGCTTTATTAATTTTGATACCTTAGGTTCAAATACTCGAATTGTAAATAACCAAAGAGAATACACAGATGATAAATCTCATCAATGGTTTGGAGCTACAGTTAAAACATCTGATGCAAACGGAGTTGTGGTTGTAAGTACTATAGTTATCTTCACTTGTACAAATATATTATAAAACATTAAGTCAAACTTGAACAAAAAAAAATTTAAAAATTGCTATCATAAGAAGTATTTTGAGTTCAAAATCAGGTTGATCCATTTTATACCTACTTGATTTTTAGACTTTACCTGTTATAAGTTATTTTATTTCATATTTACTCTTTTTTAATACATATTTCTGAAGTTTAATAATATCAGGCCAATTAATGTCAAAACAAAAGTGGACGACTTTCGAAACATTATTATGCTTAGATTTTACTTTCAATTAAATGTAATAGCTTTGACTCATTTACTAAATTAACTTACTACTCTTTCCCCTTAGAACTTTAAAATGTTGTTCCCTCATAACTTTGAAAATTTTTTTACCTACTTGATTTTTAGACTTAATCTGTTATAAGTTATTTCATTTCAGATTTATTAATTTTTTTTAATATATATTTCTAAAGCTTAATAATATCAGGCTAATTAATATCAAAACAAAAGTGGACGACTTTCAAAATATTATTGTGTTTGGAATTTACTTTCAATTAAATATAATAGCTTTAACTCAATTACCAATATTAACTTACTACTCTTTCCCATCATATGTTTCATTCTAGCGATGAACAACAATCTCAATTTTTATGAAATTGTGTATTGAAAAAAGAAATGTTGGTGAAATTAGTTTCCTGTCCCAAAGTAATTTAACGCTTGAAAAAACGCTCTTTAATTGCATAAAAGATCTGAGAACCGATATTTGTTACTCATGTGTGGCAACATCAGTATAATTCAAATAATTAAGTTTCAACTCTTTCTCTAGTTCTTTCATTGCCTCTCCAAAAATATCTTCATTGCTCTTCCTCAAGAAACGCGATCCGTGGAAAAGCTTTAAAAAGAATATCATCTGTAAACCCAGACGCGAACATTTTAGTTTCTGTCTGAGTTTTTAAAACAGATAAAGAACACTCTACTTTTCTTTATTTTTAAACAGCTTCTTTGTATTTAACGACTCGTTTAAATGATGTTTTCAAACTCATAAGAATAATTCCAATGTATGTTTTTTAGTTGAAGATGATTCCCTTTGTTTCTAACAAAACCTGAGTAAATAATTTAATATTTAAGTATCTTTCGTAACAGCTAGTTTAACCGTAACAGCCATTAATTTCTTAATTTTTTTTCATTAATGAAAGTTCATAAAAATTGGAGTAAGGGTAATGGCACCAAGACAAAGCAATAAAAATTATTAAAACTGCTTAACTAAAACTGCTAAACTTTTTTTACACTTTAATTTTTAAAATTTTGGTCCGTAACAGCCAGTCGTCGCCAGTTTCTAATTTTTAATTTTTGACAAAAATTTTATAGAGTAACAAAAGTTAGAGCAAGTGTAATGACACCAAGACAAAATAGCAAAAATTAGTACAATGCGTGATTTTTTTTTTAAATTTTATTTTTAAAAAATGTTATAAGCACATAATGTCTGGAAATGTATGCCCAAAAAGGTGGAAAAATCACAATGTAAAAAATTCCGGATCCGGTAAAACAGTTAAAACTATTTTTACTGTAAAATATTATACCGTAATTTTTGCAGTAATATTTATTTAATTGGAGTGATTTATGGATTTTGCGGTATTTATTACTGAAAAAAGGATTCCATGTCATTGTTCCGTTGCATCTTCTGACAAAAATGGATTTTACGGTAAAAAGTACCAGTGCTCTGAGTTTTGGTACTTTTTACAATAATTTGATCCCGAATTTTTTACAGAGGAACTGAGAATTGAAAATCTAAGTTATTCAAGTGACATTTTGGAAACATTCAGATTTTCTGTTTGAAAGATATTTTTAGGTGGTTTGTAAAGTATTATTATTCCTAAGAGATGGAGATCTTTGAAAACAAAATTTGAGGCTTAACATGTTTTTTCAATCAGCCTTTCAAATATTTATAAGCTTTAGACTTTTTTCAATATTTTTCAGGCATTTTAAGGACTAAAATATAACCCCTATGTTAACTTATTTTAAAATTTATAAATTGGACATTAAATGGATGGTTTTTGAAATATTTCATTAGAGAGCTCATCAGCAATCAACGTGGGATGAGCATTTCCGTTCCATAAGTTAAATAAATAAGAGATATTAGTCGACGTCATCTTTTAATGACATCTTAAAAAATTTCAAACTAGGAGGGAAACAGAGATGTATTTCAGAATCAGAGTAGGCGGCTAAAGGTGACAGACTTAAGTTATTTACAGTTCGGTATGACGGCATGATCTCTTATCGAAATAGAGGTGGGCTACCGAGTTATGAGCTACCTAAGGGGAATTTTACGACACTGGTCGTAATAATTTCGAGTGAGCAGCATAGCCAAATAATCAGTGGGATGACTTTACCTTACCTTATAAGTTGAAATATAAAAAGAACAGTGCATTAAAAAGCATCAACGGCAGCTTATATTATGTTTGACTAGTTCCGAAGTGCGTGTTCCGAAACTAAATTTATAAAACTTAGGACATATCTTTTGATTATATATATATTTTTTTTTTTTTTTTGAAGATGCTAAATGCATAAAACGCTTAAACCAAGAGAGCATTAGAGAGAATATGAAAACTTTTTCCTCAAAACATAAGCTTATAAAGTTTGTCTTCGTATAATTTTAAAGTAAACCAAACTTCCCATTCAAATGTTTCTAAAGAAATATGAGTAACTTACAAAAATTACATACTTAACTGTGCAATTCTCAGAAATTATCTTCTCTATACACGCATTTTCTACTATCATTTCTAATTGAGAGGTGTACTATACGTATTATCGAAGCACAAAATTTAAGCAAAATAGTTTTATGGCTTATAAAAATTAATGAAATGCTTATCTAAAAATTCTTACTTTTTAACTTCACAGTTTATATTCTAACTTTATATTTTTCAATTTATAATTACATAGCCTAAAATAATGTAGAATTTTGTATACCGTACAGTTTAAACATTTTAGATCATTATTAAATTAAATAACAAAAAATAATAAATTAATCTAAAATAATATAATTTCAATAAAATCCTCTTCGGATAAACGAGTTTTAAAATTTTGTGCAAAAATTCGCTTAAATAGTTTTAAGGGCATAGCCTGACACGTACCAATTGAAATGTGCGTTACAGTGACAAAACTTTCGACTGTTCCCTTGTCAAATCAATTTGGGGCACATTTTCCAGATTGCCTGTTGCCTATTTTGGTGGTAAAAAATTGAAATCCATCGAAAAAGTCGAAGAAAGTACTTTTTTGTGTCTGACTCCATAAATTAATTTATAGTTAGAACCAATTAATTAGCATTTTTGAGACTGTCCCTTTAAACCATAAAAATTGTTTCATAGTTTGCGAAAAACGCTTTATAGAAAATACGTTTTTCTATCTGAAATCAGAAAATTAAAATATGGTTTGCCTAAATTATTCAATCCTATTTTAAGTCAATTGCTCAAACTATAAATATAACTTCTTAGTACACAGCAATTTGATCATTCAATCAAGTATTATACAACAGTTTTTTTTCCCTTTTTTTTCCGGTCTGTACACTAAACAGAAAGTTCAGTGCACACTTTAAGTCATTTTCGGTATATTTATTTTTTAGAATTTAATTTAAAGTTAAATTTGGGAAGTATTTTATCATCATGCAGTCAAATATCAGTCAAATATAAAGTAAAATATCATCATAAAGTAAAATATCATCATAAAGTCAAATATCATCATAAAGTAAAACATTATCATAAAGTAAAATATCATCTTAAAGTTAAATATCATCATAAATTAAAATATCACTGTAAAAGTCTAGAAAATTTACTGTAAAAAAATGCCTTCGCTTAATTGAATGGTTCTTAAAATCAAACCAGATTTTGCAAACTGGTCATAACGACATAAATGATCGTTCTCTACTCTCCTTGTAAAAATTATTCAGAATTCCGTTGAATTCTAAATGATTTATACTTATTACTTGATTGAGAAATATGAAGTAAAAAAAGCATGATAAATAAAAAAACGCAGTTTTTTTTAAAGTGGCAAAAGATCAGGGACTTTCAGAAATGTTATTTTATTCCAGCTTTCATTTTTTTTAAAAAAAAGACATGGGAAAAGATTAAGCATGAGTGACTAGAGATATTAGTTGAAAGAAAAATGTAAAAATGAGTTAATTATATTTAAAAAATCTATTTATTGCAGGTTAATATACTTAACTTTATTAAAACTTTATGTTCAACTACCACAACACTCGACTACCGATTTTTTTTTAATATTTTGCTGTAATAAGGAAGTATGTTTGAATAATATTTTTGAGAAATAAAAACATCTTAAAAAGTAAAAATAGTAATATAAACAAATGAAAGTCTTATAGATTTATGCATTCAGAAAACGCTTTTTAAAAGGAAGTCAAAAGATTAAAGCCAGGAAAATCTGTGAAAAATACTAATCCAATTAGACTTTCAAGCGTCGTGTTGTTATTGATGAATAGTCATCTATATAGATTAAGATGCAAGGGAATCCATAATTTTTCACCTTTTACTCTATTTTATCAGAACAAATCATCAAATAAAAATGGATTAAACGTGTTGGAATGCCATTTTGTAACTTTGATCAGTGATTCTTTTTCATTATTTTTTTCGTATTTTAGAGATTTATTGCTAAAGAAAACAATAGAACAAGGAAAAAAAAGCTTGAACATATAGGCAAATTATTTTTAAAAAAAATTGAAACCGGTTTAAATTTCAGTGTGTAGTCTTAGATCTATTATTTAGAATAATTTTTCTCTGTTTTTTCCGTTTTTTCACTACCTACAAAGACAGTCTAACCCCGCTATAGTGAACCTTCAAGGGACCGAAATTTTAGTTCACTATAACCGGGAGTTCACTATATCCGTTACGCAGGCAATTTAACTAATGGTTCCCAAACTCCTCCCTTTTATTACACATTATTCAAATAAATGACTGAAAAATGTGTTATTTTTCATTACTCTTCGTCTTG